CCCCCCCCCCGAGAAGTGACCATCAATGGTATTTGGAGATCATCACTGAGCACGTATTTCTTCACACATGGACAGGGGGATGGATGGCTGGATGGACACACAGACATAAATAATAGTTTATAGGTTAGATGAGACTGTACTCAGAGCTTTTGCTGAAAGACTGAAAGTCATTTTTATTTTAGTTCATCTTAGCCCTCACGATTTTTATTTTGTGAACAGGTCACACACCCATCTGGTTCCTATTTTAGAAGGCACCAGAGGGTGGGTGATGACAAGCCTCTCTCCCGCCCTTGTCACCCGGCCCCTGGTTCTCAGTCTCCCACTGTCCCTGCTGTCTTCTGTGCTCTTCTAGAGCTGGTCTATGCACAAAAGTTTAATTTTAATTATACTTCAGCTTAACAGAAGAAGAAAAAAAGGAAGCTCAAGTAAATTTGACGATATTGCTGAACTTGAGATAAATGTTTCATCACATAAGATGTTTAGCCGCAGAAAGTGTCCCTGGGGAGGTTTTAGGCGGGAGCTTACATGTGGCAGCTGATTTAACTGAAGCAGCCGGGGGATGAATCCGGGGACTTGGGATCCACTTCCTTTTGTCTGGCTCCCTGTCTCCTTCTCTGCAGAACAGAATAATAGCAGTGGCTTGTTGCTGTTGTGTAATACTAATACTTGAGTTGCTATTGTCTGTTTTGCAGATGAAGAAACTGAGGCTCAGAGAGGTCAAGTGAGTTGCCCAGTGCCACACAGCCAGGATCTGAGTCTACCAGACTCCAAACCCGCCTTGGGTTTTGGAGCTCTGCTGCTATACCGCCTTCTTGGGAAAGCGGTTGGAAAGGTGTGGATGGGGCGGGAATGGTTGACGGCCATGGCTTCTTCCTTCTTCCAGGCGACGAGCTGCCCTGTGACATGCGGATCCCGTCAGACAAGCAGGACAAGCTTCACGGTTGCCTGGAGCATCTCTTTAACCAGGTAGGACCTTTGTCCCACCCCTGGCCTGACCTTGGGTTCCTCCCATCACCCCTAGTGAGGACAGATAAGCCAGGAGCTGGGGCAGGGGCCAGACTGACCCGGAACCTCCTGCCTCCCAGGTGGACTCCATCCACACACTCCTCAAGGGGCCAGTCATGAGCAGAGCTTTTGAAGAGACCAAGCATTTCCCCATGGACCACAGCCTGCAAGGTGAGCAGAGAGGAGGAGCCCCTGGGCTGGGAAGGGTGTCTGGCACCCAGCAGGGAGACCACGTGCTGCGGGGGCGGGACACCTGGGTCAGAGTCCCCGCTTCGTTCCTCTCCTGCCCTCTGGCTGTGGGCTAGTCCCCGGCTTCAGCAGGTTCAGCCCCTGGGCCACATCCACCACAGCCTGCTTTGTTTTTGTGAGCTGCGAATGACTTTTTGTTTTGTTTTTAACGAAGAGTTGTAAAAATAAAGACAGAGACTGTGTGTAACAGAGACCATATGCCTCGCAAAGCCTGAAACGGTTCCTTTCTGGCTCTTTGCAGAAAAAGTTTGCGGACCCCTGGGCTGGTCCCTGAGCCTCTCTGGGCCTCCACCTGCCCATTCGTAACATGAGGGGAAGGACTGGTGCAGTTTGCCGTGCTTCACACACCCAGTCCCCACCTGCATCGTCTTAGACCGTGCTCACAGATCCTACCTACATGTTCACATTTTTAAACACCATACTGTCTTTATTATTATTGACATGCATTTTTTGGAAAAGTATTTCCCTTTTATTTATTTTTAAAAAATGTTTGTTTATCTTTGGGACCGAGAGTGTGCAGGGGAGGGACAGACGGGGAGAGAGAATTGCAAGCAGGATCCGTGCTGTCGGCACAGAGCCCGGTGTGGGGTTTGAACTCACGAACCCTGAGACCATGACCTGAGCCGGAATCATGAGTCGGATGCTTAACCTACTGAGCCACCCAGCCACCCCAAGTATTTCCCTTTTAAAAATTTAATTTTGGGGGCACCTAGGTGGGTCAGTCGGTTAAGTGTCCGACTTCGGCTCAGGTCATGATCTCACGGTTCATGAGTTCGAGCCCCGCATCGGGCTCTGTGCTGACAGCTCGGAGCCTGGAGCCTGCTTCGGATTCTGTGTCTCCCTCTCTCTCTGCCCCTCCCCTGCTCATGCTCTGTCTCTCTCTGTCTCAAAAATAAATAAAAACATTAAAAAAAATTTTTTTTAATTTAATTTTTAAGGAACTTACCTAAACTCTGTGTGTGGAAAACCAGTATCACATGCCATAAAGTAGCGATTACCATAATGCTAAACCCAATGGAAGCACCGACCAAAAATGTGATTAAACTGTCATTAGTCACTGAGGCCTGCCCACAGCTCTTTGTTCTTCCGTGAGAGGGGTCGGTGAGTTGAAGGAGTGGTGAGGATTTAGCAGCACCAAATTGGCAGTTTATTCTTGAAACGATTGAGGGAAAAGGACTCGACATTTATGTGCTCACATCAGCCTCTCCTCCTGTTTACTCACCTACCCATCCATCTCTGTACTTACTAACCCACTCGTCCACATACCCAGCCACCCACCGTCCAGCCGTTTGTCTAGCCAGCCAGCCGCTCATCTCCATGTCCGCTCCCCTACTCACCATCCGTCCATCCATCCACGCGTCCGCTAGCTAATTCCCAAGGACCAGCTTGGGCCAGGCCTTGCGTTGGGTGCTCGAGACCCTGAGATGAGTGTGACAGTGCCCCTGACCTGAGGGAGCTCCTGGTCGAGTGCAGGACATAGGAAAAGAAGCAGACGGTTGCTGCTGAGTAAGAGTAGGAAGCGGTGAGGCGGTGCGCTAGCTCCCCTGCTCCTCCTCCTGACTTCATAGCAGGGAAGAGGCCAAGGGACAGAGGCCTGGCCTTCGAATAGCCCTGCTGGGGCCGGGTTCAAATCCCATCTCTGTCGTTACCCAGCTGTGGGACTCCAGGCAAGTCGGTCTGTGAGGGCTTCCCTCTCTCTGTGTGGAAAAGCGTAGACCGGGTTGCAACTCGTGTGCCAGCTCGACTGGCTGTGGCTGCAAGGAGGCTGTACCTGAGAATTGTTCTGTGTCTATGTCCAGGCTTGGGAGAAAAGGCTGCAGTGATTGATTTGTAATGTCTGCACTGGATCGGTGACAGCTGTGAGGAGCTGCAGGCTCAGATGAGCAGGAAGAAGTGCTGACATGGATTAGTGATGTCTGCCATGAGTGCAGCACTATGAATCGTAGCACACTCACCATGTATCTGCCTTCCGTGGACCAGTTAGTTCCCAAGGGTCCTGCCAGCATCCTTGACTTAGGATTCTGAGCTTTGGAACTGGTGATGGGACGTAGGCCTTTGTGCCATCATTCTTCAATGCTACCTCTGTCCTTTTTGTGCCCCAGAGTTCAAACAGAAAGAAGAGTGTACCATTCGCGGCCGGAGCTTGATCCAGATCAGCATCCAGGAGGACCCCTGGAACCTCCCCAACTCCATCAAGACCCTGGTGGACAACATTCAGAGATATGTGGAAGGTTGGTTGGGCGGGGAAAGTTGTTTTGTGGCCTTCAGTTCTGAACGTGGTGAACGCAGAAAGGTCAGGAGTGAGTCAGTCTCCGTGTCCCATGTCTGTCCATGCCCAGGGGAACGAGAAGAGTGGGTGCCCCTTTCTCGGCTGAGTGTCCTGGCCCTGGGCCTTCTGCGCACTTGACCCGGGAGCTGCGGGTCCTGGGTGCCCCAGGCTCCCTTGCACAGTTAGGAGGCCGAGAAGGCTGAACTGGTTTTCTTCTCAGCCTCCAAAAGCGTGGCTTCCTTTTATTTGTTATTAAGGTCACAAGCTAGGGGCCCACAGGTAGGTTTAGATGCTATAGCATTAAGAAATGTGAATTCACTGCCAGCATTCATAATCTGAGATCTCACATAAAAGTCTAGAATTCTGGCCCCTCTTGCACCATCAGAAGATCTGGCAGACAAGGCCTGCAGTCCCAGTCACGCACGGCTAGAGATGAGGGGCGGAGGGTGTCATTCACCACACTCCCTGCGGCCTGGTGTCTGCTTCACGCGTCTGACCTCACTTCTCTGGCCCTCGGCAGCCTTTCAGCCTGGGCCTCCTGGATTGGAGGGACCCCAGGACAGCAGGAGGTGCTAGGCCTCAGGGCCACCGCCCCCAGGAACAGCAGCCTCTGAGTGGGAAGTTGGCGTTGGCCCCGAGCTGGCCTGTTTTCCAAACTGTAATCGGTTAACAGCGTGGACACTGGAGCGGGATGGCCGAATCCCAGCTCTCCACTCGGGGCTCTGTGATCTGGGCACATTCTTAGACTTCTCTGTGCCTCAGTGCTTTCATATGTAAAATGGGCTCATGGTGCCTCCTCCCTCATGTGTTGTCTTGAGAATTAAGTGTCACTACAGATAAGGTGCTTCGTTCAGCACGTGGTGCATGGTGAGTCCCCAGTGGATGAATGTCTGTGGCTGCTGCTGTCCTCACCATACCAGCCAGGTGCCCTGGGCCTCTCCAGGACAGAAAGTATCTTTCTTCTTCTTTTTTTTTTTTTTT